ACCCCCCTCTGTGACAAATTCAAGGAATGTTGCTTGTCTTTTAATTTAACCCAACTGATCGACTCCCCCACCAGATTAAATAAAAGCCATCCTGACAATTCCTCCATCTTAGACCTGTTTCTAACTAATATGCCTCACAAATTCCCTGGTACAGGTGTATTCGCTGATCTTTTGAGTGATCATTGTGTGACAGCTGCTTTAAGAAATAGTAAACTTCCACCTTCTAAGCCCAGATTAATTAAAAAAAGGGATCTGAAACATTTCTGTGAACAGTCATTCCTCTGGGATCTGTCTCACTTTGACTGGCATCGTATTCTGTTAACTGATGACGTGAACTCTGCTTGGAACTATTTCCATAATAATTTCATTTATTTCCTGAACATACATGCTCCTTTTCGTCAGTTCAGAATAAAGGGACGAGACAGCCCCTGGTTTACTCCAGAGCTAGCTGACCTCCTGCACAGGAGAGATCATCTTTGGGCCGCAGCGAGAAAATCTGACTCAGACACTGATTGGTTGAGTTTTCGACAGATGAGGAATAAATGTACAACTTCTGTCAAAGCAGCAAAACGAAACTATTTCTTATCTCAGACCTCCAAAAATCTAAATGACCCCAACAGATTCTGGAAAACAATTAAATCTCTCTCAGGCACCCCCCAATCATCTGACCTCCCATCACAACTTCTCGTTAACTCTGTTCCTGTGTCAAATAAGCACGAGATCCTGAACTGTCTCAACAAACATTTTGTTGCTTCTGGTTCTTTATTTGACACAGTAACTAACAGAAAATCAGCCACTTCACTTAATAACCAAACTTCTACAAATCAAATCCCTCCTACAAGTCAATCCTCAGTTAATCACACCTTCTCTTTTTCTCCATTCTCAGTCAGTGAGGTCAATAAACTGTTAAAAGATCTTGATCCTAAAAAATCTGCAGGTCCAGATGAACTTCCACCTTATTTCTTAAGGCTGGCTGCTCATATCATCACAGTCCCTGTGACCCACATCTTCAATCTCTCCATAAGACAAAACTCCATCCCAGACACTTGGAAAACAGCCTTTGTTCTTCCTTTGCTGAAGGGAGGTGACCCCACCTCACTGAACAACTATCGACCAATCTCTAAACTCTGCATTTTAGCCAAGGTTCTAGAAAAACTGATAAACTCTCAAATCAAAAATTACCTGGACTCATTTAACATCTTACCTCCACATCAATCTGGTTTCAGGAAACAACACAGCACAACCACTGCTTCACTGAAGGTTCTTAATGACGTTGTTGAAGCACTGGATGCTAAGGATTATTGTGCTGCACTTTTCTTAGACCTGTCTAAAGCTTTTGACACTGTGGATCAGAACATCTTGTGTCATAAACTCTCAGAAATCGGTTTCTCAGATCACACCATTGGTTGGTTCTCTAACTATCTTTCAGACCGGAGGCAATGTGTTCAACATAATGGTACTTCCTCCAGTTATTTAACAGTCAACAATGGTGTACCACAAGGCTCAGTCTTAGGACCCACCCTCTTTACAATCTACATACATAATGTAGGTAAAAACATCCCTAATGCATCCATACATTTCTATGCTGATGACACAGTTGTTTATTGTCGAGCTAAAACTGTTGCTAAGGCTTTCCAGCTTCTGAAATCTGCATTTAACTACATCCAGACTGATTTGTTTCACCTCAAACTTGTCCTAAATGCCGAAAAAACCAAAGGGATGCTTTTTTCAAATAGGAAGTTGGTCCCAGCAGTTCTTCCTCCGATTTTATCCTCAAATGGTGTCCCCATTGAGTTTGTTGATTCCTATAAATATTTGGGTATCTTGGTCGACTCACATCTTTCTTTTAAGCTCCATGTGGAAAACTTGGTAAAGAAACTGAAAATTAAACTGGGTTTCTTTTTCAGAAACAGATCCTGTCTAACCCTGAATGCTAGAAAACGCCTTGTATCAGTGACTTTCCTTCCCTCAATTGATTTTGGTGATATTATTTACATGAACGCTCCTACAAGATCCCTGCAGATGTTGGATGCTGTCTATCACGGTGCACTAAGATTAACAACTGGCTGTGATTATCGTACCCACCACTGCACCCAGTATTCACTGGTTAACTGGACATCATTAACTTCACGCAGACTCTCTCACTGGTACATTTTCATCTTTAAATCACTTCTTGGTCTGTTGCCTTCATACATCTCCTCCTACATGTCTCTGCGTGAGTGCAGCTACGGAGTGCGCTCTCAGGACATTATTACCTGCAGTGTTCCCTCAGTGAGGACTGAACTAGGCAAAAGGGCCTTCTCCTACTCCGCTCCTGTTTCCTGGAATATCTTACAAAAAGATTTGAAGCTCTCGACCTTGACCTCTCTAAGTGTCTTTAAGAATCTGTTGGACTCCTGGCAGGGTCCAATGCTGACATGTTCCTGTTTTTAGTTTTATACATTTGTCTTGGAATCTAGCTGTTTTTTTGGTTTTGTTACCTTTTTCCTTTTAGCCATCCTATTTGTTAAAAAAACAAACAAAAAAAAAAAAAAAACTGTAGTATGAGTTTTTATAATTGCTTATTGTTGTTGCTGTTGTCCATTGTTGTCATCTTTCTTTGTTGAAATCAGGTCTCTCTTGTAAATGAGTCCTCGAGGCTCAATGGGATTTACCTGTATAAATAAAGGTTGATTGATGCTCATTTTTTGAGAGGGACCTGTACATCCAGTGATTACTTTCTGGGAGTTTTAGTCAAACTGTCCATTGGTTCATGAGATATTTTTGAAACATACACATAAATAAACACACATACACAGAGATTGACAAAAGTCAACATTTTGTCTTAAGCAATCCACCTTATTCCTGGGGGCTCTACTGTATAAATGATTATGGGTACAACTTCCTGTCAAACAGGAAGTAGAAGTAATCATTGGTTAATCATGGCAGTGGAGCACAGACTGCAGTTTATTTGAAAGTAATTTACATTCAGTTTATCAGATAAAACTCTGTTTTTGTTTTGTTCACATTTATTTAACAAGCATAAAGTTTACCAAATTAGTCGTGCTGCGTTCAGGTACGTGTAGTGTTCACGGCTGCAGAACAACCAGACCAAACTAAATCAGTGGCTACAACAACAGAGTTTGAACACGGACTCAAAACAAAAAGAGAGTTCCTATGAAAAGAGGTTTAGTTTCCATCTCCTACCTAATGATCAGGAATTAAGAAGAATGTGTCTGAAACATCTGAACTTGAAGAGACCACCCAAAACTCTGCATGTGAGCTCATTTCACTTTGTTGACAAACGAACGACGGAGGAAAACCTGCATCCTACTTTGTGTCTGGACGACAATAAACCACCGGAGAAGAGACGCCGGATCCTCAGAAGGATTGAAAACAATGTGATGAGAATATCAGATATGAGTTCAGGTGTATGGAGGTCACAGCTTTATATATTTGTTCATCTTCAGTTTATGATTTACTCTGTAATTAACCCGAGCTCAGTGATGGAGGACTTTAAGGCTTTGGCTCTGTGTCTGATTTAAGGTCAATAAGTTTGTGTCCCACCTCTTTTAACAAAACACCACCGACCTTATTACTGTGGAGACACTGATACACTCAGAGCTTCTCAGGTTGTTCATCACTTCACTGTCAGAAGAACCGAGTTGATGAAGTACATTCATAAATGCTAAATATGTTAGTAGATGTAGCTAAATATGCTAGTAGATGTAGCTAAATATGCTAGTAGTTGTAGCTAAATATGCTAGTAGATGTAGCTAAATATGCTAGTAGATGTAGCTAAATATGTTAGTAGATGTAGCTAAATATGTTAGTAGATGTAGCTAAATATGCTAGTAGATGTAGCTAAATATGTTAGTAGTTGTAGCTAAATATGCTAGTAGATGTAGCTAAATATGCTAGTAGATGTAGCTAAATATGTTAGTAGATGTAGCTAAATATGCTAGTAGATGTAGCTAAATATGTTAGTAGTTGTAGCTAAATATGTTAGTAGATGTAGCTAAATATGCTAGTAGATGTAGCTAAATATGCTAGTAGATGTAGCTAAATATGCTAGTAGATGTAGCTAAATATGCTAGTAGATGTAGCTAAATATGTTAGTAGATGTAGCTAAATATGTTAGTAGATGTAGCTAA